AATATCAAAATTAAAGAATTTCTACTCAAAGAAGAACCCTTATTCACACAAGAGCTAAAAAATTTAGGACACACTAATATTATCAACCATAGTATAAATACAGGTGATGCCGCACTGATGAAACAAACTTATTATAAGGCTGCCTATAAGAAAAATGAATTTATTAGAAAAGAAATAAAGAAATTAAAAGAGCAAGGATTAATAAAGGAAGTAAACAGTTTTTGGGCCTCTCTAGTAGTTATAGTACCAAAGAAAAATGGTAAACTATGATTCTGCATAAATTACTGAAAATTAAACACAGTGACAAAAAAAGATCTATATCCGCTTCTGCATATCAATAACCTTCTTGATACATTCGGTACAGCTCAATGGTTTTCTACTTTGAACCTGATAAGTGAATATTGGCAAGTAGAAGTAAGTGAAGAAGATATAGAAAAGACAATATTTATAATGAAATATGGTACTTACGCTTTTAAAGTAATGCTGTTTGGTCTTTGTAACGCTCTAGAAACTTTCCAAAGACTAATGGACACTGTACTTGGGGATTGTCTTGAGAAGTTTGCTATTGTTTACCTTGATGATATAAACATTTATTCAAGTTTGGTAGAAAAACACCTAAATTATTTACAATTTGTTTTTAACAAATTAAAAAAAGCAGAGTTAAAATTAAATCTGGAGAAGTGTACTTTCTTTAAGTCTAAAATAAATTATCTGAGACATATAATAAATAAAGAGGGAGTAGGACCTAATGAAGCAAAAACTGAAAAAGTAAAGAAATTTCCAATATCAGAAAATCTTTGCCAATTGAAAGGATTTATTGGATTGGCATCTTATTATCATTGTTTTATAAAAGGTTTCACCATGATAGCTCGACCACTTTATAAACTATTAGAAAAAGATGTTCAGTATAAATGGGAGGAAGATCAATAAATGGTATTTGAAACATTAAAAAGACACTTAATAATAGCACCTATTTTAAAATATCCAGATTTCAAAGAAATGTTTTACCTTTATACTGATACTTCCGGTATAGGATTGGGAGCTGTATTAGCTTAAAAAGATAAAGATCACAAGAAATATGTGGTAGCATATGCTAGTCGAGAATTATTTAAAACTGAATATAATTATTTAGCTCTAGAAGTAGAGTGTTTAGCCATTGTTTGGGCTATAAAACACTTCTATTATTATTTGGAAGCAAAACACTTTACCTTGATTACGAACTATACCACCCTCAAATAGCTCCATACCAGTGAGCCAAAAAGAAAAAGAGCTTGTTAGATTTTAAGACTCCAACTATATAATTACTCAATCATATATCGAGCAGGGAAAAAATATTCAAACATAAATACTTTATCTTG